ATATATATATATATATATATATATATACCAACCAGAAAAATACACATAATCAACCATAAATTTCCAGTTCTTAATTTATAAACCCAAAATCAGAACTCAATATGTACACTTCCTACATAATTTTTCTGATATTATGTACAACTGGTATGAACAAATCAACAAACACTTGGCGGGTATTTTTCAGTATAATGCTTGCATCATCAGAAGGAAAAGGGATTAACTAACCATGGATTTGTTAGAAAAGCGACATTGGGGACGAGTGGTCCAGGAGCAACAAAGGTGGGTCACGTGAGAATAACAAGCTCAACAGAAAACAAAAAAAAAAACATAACTCGGAACATTTTTAAAACAAGCTCAACATTTTTTCCTCCAATCAAACCAGTTGCTTCTGGATTGAGTAATTAGAACCAGAAAAATAAAAAAAATACCTCCAACAGATGAGGATAAAGACCATTGATTCAACCTTCACCTATGGCACCAAGGGCCAGGACAGCATCTTCCCGTTCTTTCCAAGCATCATCCCCACCAGCAGACAACTTAGCCTGAACAAATTCTTATAACCTTTAGTATATCCACACACAAAAATAAGGCTTGTGGAGAAAATAAAGGGAAACAACATATACTTTATGCTTTATAAATGTTGCAACTTCAACAACATCATTGATCCAAGCCTATCACAAAAAATTAGTAAAACCCCAAAATCTTTTTACCTGGCATTTTGTCCCCATCAGCACCTTCTAGAACCACGAGGTAGTGAACAAAAGAGGGAATCACGACCTCAAGCTTCCCATCACTGCAAAACAATAGCGCATACATTTGACAAATGAAAATAAATAATAATAAAAGTACAAATCACACAACAAGCAGAGTATACCAAGCTCCTCTTCGGCCATTATTACCAGCACACCAACACATAGACTCTCTCTCACCACACCACACCAGAGAATGATGAATGAGACTACACAGAATACCACACCAAAGAATGATGAACGAGTGATGACTCCTAGTCGAGGCGGATCGGCGTGAATCCATGATTCCGGTGTAAAATCGAGTCGGCGAACAAGGACACAGCGAAAGACGGTGAAATCAAAAGCAAACCCTAGATTCGAAGGTTTGTTCGGAGCAGCGAGGTAGGAGGGATTTAATCGGTGGAAAAGGTTGGAACGAAAATTTAGTCGGTGTAAATAGATAGCAACCAATCTCAACCGGTGAAAAATGAAGAAAAAGGCAAAACAATCGGTCAAAAGGTAAGAGATAAGGAAAACCTAGAAGAAGATGAGGTTTGAGGTTTGGGGTTTGAGGTAACGCTCTAGGCATCGAAGAAGATGTAGTTTCGGTGAAAAGCGAACGCGAGACGTGGTTCGGTGACGGTGAGGAGGAATGTTCTTGGAGGAGGAGTGCGCGGTTAGAAATGTGAAAAATTAGACAGCCATTCGGATATTATAACTGATTTTTAAAACTCTATAATACATCAAAAAAATTTCAAATGTTTATATATATCTAGTAATAGGTTTTGATCTTATTTATAAATTTATCACTGTATTTCATATTATAATTGATATACAACACTATATCAGAATATGTTTTAAACTTATTTATAATAAATAATTTTTATTTATTATAATAGATTCTCATAAAAAAATTATTTTTTCACTGTATGTTTTAATGTTGTTTATCAATAAATATAAATTAAAATAAATGAGACATATGTTAAATCTCGTCATTTCCTTTTCATCGTACATATATATATACGACAAAAATTCCTCAAAATCTTATTAATTAGGAAAACACTAACAATTCTTTTTAAGAAAATCAACTCTCAATTAGATCCCATTCATTTATGTTAGTATCTCAAATTTTGTTTTCATCAACTTTATAACATTCCACTTAATAGTACTAGTTAAAACATTATATAATTTTTATCAATAAATAATAAACAAAGTATATTAGTATTTCATTATTGTTATCCCAAAAAAATAACTAAAACCAAAAGTAAATTCAGAAAATAGGCATACAGTTTAAGTAGTCATCCTGAGATGTAACATATAATACAAATGTTCTAAACTTAATTATCCAGACACATGCATTAATATCAAACTCACTCAAGACATGCTTGTGGTGGCCTCTACTATTCTACAAAACCATTGTTAATGAGTTTCACTCTACTACACACAAGGTTAATGCTTTTTGTGTCTTAGGCCAATGAAAAATCCTTAGACTAGAACCTCATGCTACTATCACCACATAATTCATTATACTCTACATAAGCATAGATGCTTGTTAGAGTGTAAAGATATCTTTTTGCTTGAATACATCAATGCATAAACTAAAGAAAACACAATAGTAGAGTTTTTTCCATAAAATCATAACAACTCATATCATTACTACAACCACTGAAAATTAATTAATATAAGCAAATTGAATCAATTGAATTATAAAAAATTAAGGTTTCACGACAAATAGAACCACTGCATTATCTAGTGCTCAACGATACATACCACTACTCAACACTCTATCACAAAATTGTTTACTGACTTTGAAATTGAAGACTAGTGCTTAGTGACAATTTCATACTACTCAAAGCGTATGTAAAGTTTTAATTTGCCAATTGATCAAATTGATACTTTTCTTTCTTTTCTTAACTCTTTTTATTTTATAAACATGTACATTGTACTAATTAGACCAATTTCTCAAGTTAAAACTCACAATTCAATCATATTCCAAAATTCACAATTTAGTTCCAAACACACTTTATTTCACCAAAACTCCCAATAGCATAAATGAGCATATATTCAACATATATTTTATAATAGATTCAACCAACAAATTAATACAAATAAATCAGTTCATGGATCCAAAATACATATCATGCATCATACAATTCGTACCCACATCATGTATTTAACATGCATACCACCAAAATGGTAAAAAATCAACATGTAAAATCTGTACCTAGCTTCTCTCACCTTAAAAGACAATCCAAAACAGTTCTTGAATTCCACAAGCCTTCCGATGACTCATGAATGTTCTATCTCAACCTAAAAACAACATAAAAAACGACGGAACCAAAAGAACCACAGATTAAGAAAGAGTTGTATCAAAGACTCTAAAAACACATGCAATCCCAAAATATCACTTACAAAGCAAGAAAAAATTGAACATCAAAGGAGACCAAAATTTTACATATCAAATAGAGAAATTAATCGAATAAACTTAGAGGGTTTTTCACAATGTAACTCCATGATAATGAAGAAGATGAAATTTGAGTGAGAAGGATGAAGAAACAAATTGAGGTTGTAATGTGCTTTTGGAGAAGAGAGGTTCTGTGTTTGAGGCTTCACTGTGGCTACTTTTTGGATTTTTCTAAAGAAAATTATTTGTATTTTTAAAGGGTTTTACAAACCGTGCAATTACTCTCTTTTAGTGAACATGAAAATTTGTATGTATAGAAGCTAAATTTTCATCTCTTTTAGGAATATGACTTTTTCATTTCATAGAATGAATATATGTTTTAGTTTCTCACAACAAAAAGTCAATGATAATTATAAAATTCTTTTGATAAAAATAGCATAATTATACATGGCCCACATTTTATTCAGTTTCAAGTTCCATCTATAATCAAATTTTTCTACCATTTGAAAAACTGAAAATGTTTATTTACTGTGCCTGCATGAGTTCAATAAAAAAAAGAAATCTATAGGTATCCAATTTTCTGGTAGATATCTAGTGTAAATCCACAAGATACAAGTTCTAATTAATGGGAGTAGCCATGCAGGAAAAACCTGTAGTTTGTTGTTTAATGTTGGAACTTGGCTGTTTTCTGAAAATATTATGATCTACCATATCATTTGTACAGCACACCAATTCATTCAGACAGTAACCAAATTAAGAACAAGCAATATGAAGAATCTTCTGTGACTAAAGACACTGGTTACTTTTATACAATGTTTCGTACCAGAAGGACACTCACTGTCACACTCACAATTATTCGCTGAGCATAAGAATGAGACCCACTTTTAATAATTTATGGTAATAATATAAAGTGCATTGAAAAGGACGTGGTAGTGCGTTTATAACATAACTTTATGAAATTTCTAGATAAAAAAACAAGATAGTGTTTCACTTTTAATATATCATATGTTTAAAATCTCATGTCTTTTAAGGATAAAATTAAAAAAAAAATTCTTACATCAAAATTTTGTTCTGACAAAAAGAGAGTTTCTAGCATTATTCTTCCCAGAAAGATATACAAGAAAAAATTAGTGGATGATGGGTCCGTTTTCTAAAATATTGCATTTGAGAAATAAGCAGGAGCTTTCAGACGAGGGGATGGACCAAATAGGTATAATAATTATGAGGAGAAGGGTTGATTTGAGAGCTGTGCCACACAAAATTGTGGAAACTGATATGGATACTATGACAGCAATGGTTTGCTGAAATGATGAAAAGGCTGTTCCTTCTACTGACCACCACTTATGCTTATCAGCCTTCTTTTCAATAATAAATGTTTACTTGAAAATAATTAAATCTAAATCTAAGTCTCACATTATATTTAAATGATAAAATTAAACATCATATATCCTAATGATATCCATTTATAAAAAATCTCATCAGAGTTAACAACTACAACAACACTATACCCACAACAATGATATAAGTAAATGCTACTCTTCACTTGAAAGTAAAGATACCATACCAAAGAGACTCACCTAAAAACAGTTAAACACCTTATACACCTATACTTCAGAATTTTTATTTTGAAAACTCCCCCTAAACTTCACCTTCTTTTTAAATATTTGAGCCACATAGCTCATCTCAGATGTCTGCATATGGAAGTGACTAACTTTTAAAGAAAGTGTAAGCGAATATGTTGCAACAACTGATAAATAAAGAATTTCATTGTAATTTAAATACAACATCTCTTTGGATACTTTGGTAACTGTTGCTTCTCCAAGCACACAATGAGCCTAATTTTGGAGCTATCATCTGTTGCATCAGGATTTCAATAGGAATCATTGTTCTGGTCACTAGAATTCTGAAAGCTCTTAAGCTAATACTGATATATACAAGCATTGCTATCTCACCAACCTATTTTATTCCAGGTGCAACCTGGACAACCAAAGGACTAGTGACTTGTGACCTCCCATTCCTCCATGACAAGAACCCAAATTTATATCCCTTTGAGGGAGCAGTTATTTTGAACTTCAGAGTGAAATTCATTTTTTGCCCAATTCTTGTAAAAATTAACTGGTTAGGTATAACACTGACTCTAACACCAGGTGGAGAAGACACTATAGCTTTATAAACACTTCTTGCTTTCCCAACATTAGTCACAATCCTAGTAACAGAAAAGTTATCTTTAAGATTTGGCACTGAAATAGATGGGTAGTTCAGGTCAGATGCTGTGTTGAATGCCCTATCACAGGTGCTGTTGTCTCTTGTAACTTGATGGAGTGACCTCTCATCATAACCTATTGAACACAGGAATGCAACATAATCTGCAGGCTCTGAGTCATAGATGAGACCAGGATCAAGAACTCTAGCAGGGTTTACAAACCCTGATCCGTAGTCAAATGCATTAGCCCTTCTTTGCTCTGGATCTGCAGTGATGGGTCTGTGGTGCTTATCCAGTATTGTAGCTGCATAAAGAATTCATAATTAGTCTCTCGAGTGGAACCAGAGAAGCCAGTGTACTGTAAGAAAGTTAACACTATCATTAGAAAGGTTAGCATAATCTTTTAATATTTCCAATATTCCCTTTATTATTGGGAGCTCCTGTTAAATAATGTGAGTCTCACCCTTGTTTAATGGCTTTCATTCAACACAATTTGTAATGTAAGAGTATGTTGGAAAAGGTGTAGTAGAGACTATACTACTAGCATTCTCTATGTATCATATTACTTCATTTGGTGATATAAAATATTATTCATAATGCTCACTTTCTAGATTTATAGACATTGACAATTGGAATTTAACCGAATATACCATCAATTTCATCTTTAAGTTGTACTCCTTCTCCTAAATAGTCCCCAACCTAAAAAAATTCTATAAATAATTCTCCAGGCATTAGAAATCAATTTAAGTAAGCTTTTAAGTTTTTGAAAACCCTTTAATTGGTTCTTAAATGTTAATAAATCAATATAGGAACTAAACTGATGAATATTTAATACTTGAGTGAAGGGTTACCAATACTGCATTTTTTATTTTTTATTTTATTTCAGAGACTACTTAGGAGAAAATGTAATACAAATGAATGATTTACTCAAATTTAATCTACTATGCAGTTTTGTTTCAATTGGTCTGATTAAGAAGACTCTAAACATAGTTATATATAGGCCTCTGGAAAATGATATCAATTAGTGTATTACCAGTTGTCATGATGGCAGA